TGTTGTTCAACTGGGTGGCATCAGAAGTGAAGTTTCCTAATGGGTATGTTTTAGATCTTTCTAGATGTGTTGAAAATGGTCAAAAGTTCTCCGGGATGAAGAGTCATGATTTTCATGTCTTTATGCGATGACTATTTCCCTTTGTATTTGCGGAGCTACTGCCAACAAAAGTACATGAAGCACTTGCAGGTAATATATATTAAACATATGCTTTAATTAGTTTATTTATTTATATGCACAAATAAATATTATAATTACTAATGTTTTTATATTTTTTGAAATATACATGGAATTGGAGAATTTTTTAGGGATCTGAGCACACACTCTCTTAAAGAGGATGTCGTTCAACAACTTCATGAGAACATTCCTATCTTACTGTGCAACTTGGTGAAATATACGTTCCCAGCATTTTTTGACATCATGGAGCATCTAGTTGTCCACCTCCCATATGAGGCATTGTTTCGAGGACCTGCACATTACGGATGGATGTATCAGTATGAGCAGGTCATGAAAATTTTGAAAAGAAAAGCTAAAAACCTCGCAAGAGTTGAAGGTTCAATAGTTGCCGGAAGTTTGACGAAAGGAACATCACACTTCACATCATACCTCTTTGCAATGAAAGTACGCACACGGAAACGAGCTCCAAGAAAATATAATCATGGTGGTGTTGTGCCGACATATGTGAAAAAAGATATTCAGCTATCTTTTGCCAAATTCGGCGATTTGGTGGAAAATTGAAAAATGTTTGGTGGTCGAGAGATGAAGACCTCCATAGTGCACACATTTATATTCTTCAATTGCGAGTATGCATTGATTCGCTATCTTGAAAGATAGTTAAACATATATAAGTAAATTTATAATTACACACACATATATATTTTTTTGGAATTGATTAATTAACAGAATATTTTACAGCTAATTTGTTACTCAAGTCGAAGAATCAGTCCTGAGTATATTCACAAATGAGTTAGACAAAAAGAAAGATCAACATTTTTTTAAGTAGTTGAGGAAACATGTATTATAACGTTCTCTTTATTTTTAAACGTTTGCTGTTAGAATGATTAATTTCAAAGTTCTTTTTATTTTCGCATATGTGCACTTAGATGATCATGGGTTATATAGAGTGAAAAGCTGTGTTACGTGTTACTTGACATTGATGTTTAACTTTTGGCAGATAGAAGCCATTGCACAGGTTGAAGCTGCTCAAGGTCGTATATCAGGCTTTGATTCCCTCAATCTCCGATTGGAGAACCAAGTCTATCATAGTCCCTGACTACTGTATACATTTCTTCGTCTAATGACAAAAGGAACCTCCATATCAACTTTTCATTCAACTGATCATGGTGCTTCTAAAACTTATCTTACAGAGTCACTTGAAAGTATTCTCTTTGAGATTTTGATTTAGGCTTGTACATGCACTATGATTTAGTTATATTCTTCTTGTTTCATCCCCGTTTAGGATTGTTGGATCATATTACTATAATTTCCAATCATTTCTCTTCTGATTGTTTGCTGAAGACGACTAATTGGGATCTATCTTTACCACCATCTTTTAAATAATCGCTCTTTTAGGTTGGATTATATAGTTTTGGTCTCTTTGTTACGGTTGACAGATCTAATGTTAATGTCTCAGTTACCAAGTGAAGCCAGCAGCAGTCAATAGCAAGTCCCTCCTGCATTCAAGAACTTTTGGTATGATTCATATATAAAAAAAAATCATCACATTGTTATATGCTTATATTAGCTGCTGATTTGCTGTCTGAGGCTTTGTATCTCGTTTCCAAGCGGATTTGTGTCTAAATGAAAGTTGTACGGTCCGGATACACAAGTACTGCCTCAAAAACATTTTTCTCGAAAGGTAGACACATTAAACCCAATGGATTTAAGTTTTACTTGCATCAATAATATTAACATTCTGATCATATAAAATTTTCAAGATGATAAACTTTGATCTGGTTGCGGGTAGACATGGCCTTTGGGTACAATTACAAATAAAGAAGCAGTTGAAGAAACAGTGAATGATGATGAGGAGGAGGAAAGAGATTCTCAAGCCACAGCTTTGACGTCCAAGAAAAGAAAACATAAGAACCACAGAGACTAGCTAGCTGAGATTGTTTTTTCACAAGCTTCCTTGGGCCTTGAGTAGTGGTAACACTAGGAGAAGAGTAACTCGTAGCGTTGCACACTTGAGTTAAACGTTTCAAAACGATGATTTCAGGGCTTAGATGTATACTTTAATGCATGTTTCTATGTCCAAACAACATTGGCAATTTGGTCGGGTCTAATGTTTACTCTAATAGAACACCAATGGTGTTAAAACTCTTTTGGGTTGAACAGTCTACGACATATTTAAATGATTATAATTATATTAAAATGATAATATGGTTAAATATAACATTGACAATTATATTTAATGTTGATTTTATTTTTGATAAAAAGATTAGAATATGTTAATAACTAATGTATCATAATTAAAATAAATCTATTTAAATATGACATTTAATGATAAAATAATAAAAAATTTAGCTATTTTATAAATTTTGGAATATTATTAAGTCTATTTTGTAACCATAGAATTTTTATTACTAAAATAGTTTCAATTTTTTAGTGAACTAAAGAAAGTGTTGGGAATTTACCTTACTAAAGTTGAAATACCTAGATGAACCAGCCCTTAAAATAATCTTTTAATCACATTTAGTGCCACTAAAAGCTAATTAATCCTAATTTTTAGTATTAATTTTTTTGACAAAATATTTCTTAAAAACAATCAATTATTTAATTTATAGTCAACATTAATGATTATTTCAAATGACCATATATTTTTAAAAAAATTATTTTTCAAAGTCAAAAATTTATTAATTTTATCCGTAATTGATTATATAAATATAAATTAATATAATAATATGATATAAAACAGTATAAAATTATTTGTCCCCTTCTGTAAATATTAAAACACATTATTTGTTTCCTATACAAAAATATGTAATCCGTTTATAGTATATATAATACTATTTTCAAAAAATTAATACTAATATACATGAATAATATAAAATTGACATAAAATAAGTTAAAATTAAAAAAATATTTACTTATTGTATTACTAATAATTATATATGCTAAACGTACAAAAATACAAAACATTCAATATTATATATAAATAGTATATAATCAAAATAAAAATAACATTTAATACAAATAATAATTCAATGCTAATATCGCAATATTTATTACAATGGACATATACAGTAAGTTTTAAAAAGTTAAAAAAAATATCAACACGAGTGTGCGGATCAAAATTTAGTTAACACTAAAATTAAACAAGGATGTTCGATATGGAGGAGTGATGAGGTATCTTGATGGAGCAATTTAAATTGAACTATTCAGGACACTTAGTTTTTTGACATCGACTTAAAATAGACTTATGTTGATTCTGCGAACCAAACCAGTAGCTCTGTCTCTGCATCCACGTGAACGATAAATGACAATTGTTTCTTGGCACTGCATGCTAGACTATCTGTCTGTAAATTCTACGTTCTTGGTACATAGATGATCTCTGAGCTGTGAAAGTTTTCCTTGAGCATCTTAATATCTCCCAAATAATTTGCAAAACTGGCCATTCTTCTGGTTTCGAAACCATCTTCACCAATTGAGAACAATTTATTGCAAAAATAACATGATACTGGTGCAGATTCCTTATACTTTCCATTGCTCAAATAACCGCTTCCACCTCAGAATGAAGAGGCGAGAGGCTAGCTCTGATATTTCTTGCTCCCATCAAACTAGTAAAACATTCGATCGTACTATACCAACCTTGGCTAGAAGAATTTCCTTATCTTTCCATGAACTATCTGTAAAATACCAACACCCTGGTATGGAAGGTATACTACATCTCTCTCCTTGTTGTGTTGCCCTCTGGGAATGATCACTTGGGCTTCTTTCCAAAGAATTGATTATGTGTCTGCCAAAGTAATCATATCTCTGGGATCAACATCCAAATTGCTATAAGTCTTGTTGTTATGTCTTTTCCAAATATATCACAATATCCATGCGAAATAATGATCATCTATTTTAGGTCTAACTCACCAGAATAAATGATCTATATTTGTGAAAAGAGAACCGATAGGAAAACTTGCTGGATTGAAAGGATACTTTGATAATACCTAGACTTGTCGTGCTGGAGAGCATTCAAAGATACATGGTTAATCGATTCTTTTACATCTCTAATTCTGTCACAACCTATTTCCCCTTATATCCCTCACGCTTTAAGACACTTACTAATTAATGTTGATTAATGTAGAAATTAAACTAGTGATCTTAAGAGTAATGTATTTTTTTTTTTTAAATAATAATTGTCAAAAAGTCAGTCTTTGTTGAAACAGCAACTATCCTTTTAAAAAATGTTGGTTTTTCATCAATTCTTTATTTGATTTTATTTATAGTACTACATAACTATTGAAGAAAAAAATCAAATATATTATTGATAACATATTTTTCATAAGAGGAATTGGTGATTCAAAGATCTAACCTATATAGAAAATTACAAAAATGTATGCGCTAAATTATTTCAAATTAATTTATTTGCTTAATATTTATATCAAATATATTCACTAAAAATGGGTCATGAAATCAAACTACTAAAAGCAAATATATATATATATATATACATATATTTAGAAAGAATAAAAAGTCAAAATAATAGATTACTAAGTGATTATGTGAAAATTATATTTTAAACACATCTACGCGTTGCGCGAAAACTAATATAGTATACTTTAAAATCTACAAACAATAAATCTCATAATCACTTTATACAGTAAAACACAATGAATAAATTATAACCAAGAAAAACAGTTTTCGATTATTATTTTTTTTTAAATGTATGTAGGATGTTTTGTTTTTGTCATACTTGTGTTTTGTGTTAAATCCAAAAGGGGCTTCTATCAATTTCTCTTTTGTTCTTCTTCTGTTTTCCTAAATACTGAAAAAAATAAAAAATAAATAAAAAATAAAAAAAAAAAGGAAAAAGAAAAAGAATGGTTGAATTTTTGTGGCTGTTGATCGAAAGCAGGAAAGCACCAACAGAAAGAAATCTGAAATGTGAGAATTAGCCAACCACAGTCACGCAACACTCTCTCGAGGAATCCAAATTAAACTTGGCTCTTCCCCTCACTACCTTACAAAACCCTAACCCCAAATTCTCTCCTTCACTCGCTGAAAATGGAAGACGAAGAAGGCATCGGGTTAATTTTAGCCAGAGCCACCGAGCTTAGACTCAAGATCACAGATTGTATCGACAGCTCCAGCACCGCCGTCAGCGATGACGACCACGGCGGCGGAAATGAGCTTTGTTTCCGCGGAGAAGTAAAGAAAGATGGGACTATTGGGAATGAAGATAAGGATTTTAACTCAACCAGCTCTGGAGATGTAGAGGAGGAAGAAGAAGCTGAACACCTTTTGCGAATACGCGATGCTCTTGAATCTCTAGAGTCTCAGCTTGCTGCTTTACAGGTTCTTAAACCTAGATTTCACCTGCTTCTATGTGTGTTTTGTCTCAATTAGCCAAAACCAGACCAATCTTGAAAATGGTTGTCGTGAATTTCTCTTCATTGTTTATGGAACTCAAAGTTTCCGGCTTTTAATTGAAACATTGATTGGATCTGAATTGGTTTCACTGTCTTTAATTCTCAGTAGTTAGTGTGGTAATATGGATCTATGTCTCATGGTATTGATTGGTTTTCTTGTAATAAAACCAGAATCAACGGCAAAGACAACAGTATGAGAAGCAAGTGGCTCTCTCTGAGATTGATTACAGCAGGAAGGTGTTGGTTGAGAAGCTTAAGGAGTACAAAGGGAAAGAACTCCAAGTACTACGCGAGGCTTCAACTTTTGCTGGCGAAAGAGTCGACTACGAGAACGATCTTCTCCTTCCTCCTTACCCTCTTCATCCTCCTCTCTCCCTCGGTTTAGATAACAACAATGGCTACTTACCTCATTTACTGTCTAAGCCTAATATATCTGATGAAAACGGGTTTGGGTCAGGACATGTAAGAAATGAATCAGAGGTGGAAAGTCCCCACGGAGGCTCAAATCATGGAGTTGTTCGCTTCTTAGGCTCTGTTGCAAAGATCATTCTTCCAATCATCGGTGTGATCTCCATCTTGTCTGTTTCTGGATATGCTCCAGAGATCAGGAAAAGAAGCGCGTCACTGAAGCTTCTGGAGTTGCTCCCGTGGAGAGTAGTCACAGGGAAGAAAACACCGAACCAATGTCCTCCGGGGAAAGTTCTAGTGACTGAAGACGGTGAAGCAAGGTGTCTTGTGAAGGAAAGGGTGGAGATTCCCTTTGACTCGGTGTTAGCGAAACGAGATGTAACTTACGGATATGGTTAAATTGTATAAACGCTCTCTACTCTGTAATCTTCATTGCCTCATGAGTTCAATCTGTAAAGTTTCAACCTTTTGTCTCTTTTAGATGTGATGCTACAAAACTCCCCCAAAGTTTTGTTTTTGCTTGTGCTTCTCAGCATATAATCTTATACCATTTCCAACCTACCCTTATATTTGCTTCTATATGTTATAATAGAGTAAAACCTTTTTTTATTTTTTTTTTTAACTCAACATCAACTTTTTCATTCACCAAAGGGTTTGTAACCACAATGTCTCCATAGAGACTTTAACCACTTGTGATATGAGGATGAGGATATAGTATCACCTAAGCTCACTCATTTGGAGCCTACATTACCCTACCACTCATCCAGTCACTTTAACCACCATGAGAACAAACTCTTTTTACCACAAACGGTGAAAAAGAGTTGCCTCTTCAACCACACACTATTACAGGGATAAGACCAAGACCTGAAAACTAATACCTAAACAAGGATTTCAACTTTGACCATAGCTGGAGATCACCATTTGATTGGAGTTAGGACCTTGGACCTTGCCGGCTCAACACCGAAGCGCATGTTCCTCCCTTAGGACAGCTTCAGAATTCGGTCAATATCCCAAGCCTTATTCAGCGGATGCAAGCATCAATGAAGCAAAAAAAATTCTATTCTAACCCACCTTATCTTCTCCTAAAATAGAAATTATTATTTTTATCTTTAAATCTCTATATTTAGAGAAAAAATAGCATTCATCTAGTGTTCAAAAAAAAGTGTTCAAAAAATAGCATTCATCTATAACAGAAGTATACTTTTTTATTTATAAAATAGTCCCTTAACCTTTTGTGATCGTAACCGAAATACATCTATATATATAAAGTAAGCTTTCCTCCCTCCTGCAAGTGCCATGTCATCAAATCAGAGATTCTGCGGCCGCCACGTGGCAAGGAGAGACAAATTCGCTGCGTTTTGTTACATAATTTGTGGATTCAGTTTGGGCTTCAAATATTAACAGGCTTTTTATATCATCTTCACCTACAACTTGTTAGTCAAATATGCGTAGATGAAACGCAGCGTTGTCGGCTAGGGTTACACAAGT